CCATTTAATAAATCCTGATGACCATGGATTCAGATGATCAAACAGATGAAGAGCTGCTGAATTCCATTCACTAGAATTTCAATTATTCGAAATTTTCGGTAAGTTGCCTTTAATTTTTCCACAGGCGACCACAGAGTATTAGGGACCAATTTTAAGTTTCAAATTAAGCATCTTACACTGGCATCGATTTTGAATACAATTTTATCTATTGACGGCGATCAGACAAAGACCTATTGTTACTCCTAAAGACCTCTTCTTTACGAGCAACAAAATTTTCATCATATTAATTCTGATCCAGTCCTTCTTAACGATTTTAGAATTCTAATATTTTAATATTTTTATACTTCTTTACTAGTTTCCTCAACAGGGACAGGGAAAAGTGGACGGAGCACCAGAACTTCGTCAGTGACGTTTACAGGTGTTGCTCCGCCGCACTACTATACCCCACTGGGCTTTTAGTTGGCCCGCATCGGATGCTAGCCTACCAAGACATCTACATAGTAATTTTACATTAATATTAGACTTACGTATTGAATATACAATTACATAGTATACAATTATTGCAAAGAAATTAACCTATTAACAAAAGTTGGAATATGGCAGATTAATATAACATAATTACTTCACATTAGTATATCTAGTTACATCGAATTTCAATAAACATCTTTTTAAGGAACTAATTGGGGAAGAAATCCCCCCATCTTATTATACTTAGTTGAATTACTAAGATGAATTATCTTATTAATACATTTCCTTTCATTTTTTAACTTGTTACACACAACTGCATCAGCACTGAATTCTTACATTATTATTTTTGTCAATTAATGTATTATAAACACAGAAAATATACATTAGAAAATCACATAATACTTACATTTACACTAATATATCTAACAGAGTCGTATATTATTTTTTAATTAATGATTTAATTATTACAAGATTTTTCCCCCTCATCTCCTAATACAGTTCAAATTCTTAATGTAATTATTTTGTAAAAACTATTCATACCATATTTAGCCTGTTTCACACATTTGCAATATTTCTGAAATCTTGCATTATTTTTGCAAGTTATGGAATAAGAGGTATTTATACAGATGTGATAACATCTTGACAAATGTCTTCTCTTTTATATGCGAAAAGTTTCTTCATAATCAAGGAAACCTTTTGTTGTAATTGAGGGATCGTTAGCATGCATTTAATGTACTCAGGCGTAATTTGTGACCTTTCTTTGCAGTGTAGCTCTTTTGTGAGCTGGCACTTGAAAAGAGTTTCCTCAACAGGACACGATAAAGTATGGGGAGCACCTGTACATCGCCTTAGGCAGATTAGGTATTGCTCCGTCATACTAGCCATCTAGAGAAGACCTCACCCTGTGAGGCACACGAGCGCCACGCCCGGCGCTGAAGTGTTTGAGTCTGCTTTGGTGTTGTTGGGTGAAAGTGGCCCACCGGGCACCCACGTCCAGCAGCCGGACCACAGCCACGCAGTCCACACTCCCACACCAAAGTCAGGGGATAGGACGATACTGGTTTCTCTGCTCATCCTCTCACCGGAGATTCCTCACCTCGTGCGTAGCGTCTCCCTTGGTAGCCTCGGAGGGGAGTTTATTGAGCAGATTTAGGATACAAGTATTTACAGGGCGATGTACATTGCAGATGTATTTACTGAAAACATTGGTATATTATAACATGATACAATACATGAGCAGTTGAATAACAATAGTAAATTAAATTTAAGATACAATATATTACAAGGTGAGGTACATAGTAATGGTTATCATTGCAAACATTGGTATAGTATTAAGTAATAATATTGAAGCAGTTTAGAAATAAAAATAAAAATGAATGACTATTTAGATTACAATATTTACATGTGGAGGTACATTGCTGAATAGTGTTTTATGAGTTTTATAGGTGAGCACTTCAGATGGTTCAAAGTTCATAGAGTTCATGAGTCCATAAAGTTCATTGATTTCGTAAGTTCATGAGGTTCAATGAGTTCATTTGGTGGTTGTGTTTTTTGGAGCACACGTGGTTTTTCCTTGGTATTTTGTTGAAATTGTTGTTGGCTTTAACAACTTGGGTTATTTTGAGAGGTGGAGGGCACTGCTAGGGATGCTTGCTTGATGTTTTGTGGGAGTAGAGGCATTGATGATGGCTATTTCATTTCTTGCCTTGGTTCTTTATGGGTTACATAACTCAAGTCCTGTTTGGTTGAGGTAATCGATAATTTTCTGGATTTGTGCAGAGACGGAATTGTGTTTGATGATGAAGTCTGATGAATTCAATCCCGTAGTTTGTTGGGTGCTTGATGTGCATGTTAGCTGTGAGGTTACAGTGGAATAAGTAGTGTTCTGGGCTTCCAGTTGTTCCACAGACACATGTGTGTGTTTGGGCAAGGTTGCGGGCTTTGAAATATGTCGGGAACGGCCCATGTCCAGCTGTAAATTGCGTAATGTGATATTTTGTTATTAGGCGGTCTTCTGAGACTTGTGGTGCAATTCTGTGAGTTCTGCGACCTTGTGGTTGGTTATACCATTGCTGTTGCCAGGCGTGTAGTGCTATCCGTCGTAGTTGTTGTTTTAGGTGTGAGCGCGGCCATGGTGTATGAATGGTGGATCCAGCTTGATCTTGTGCAGCCTGTTTGGCGAGCTCATCTGCTCGATTGTTGCCTTCGCTGGTGCTGTGTCCTTTTGTCCAGGAGATGGTAAAGTGTCTTCCGTCGTTGCGGATCTGATCTCTTATTTGCTGGGCTATTGGCGAGCGGTTATCTTCATTTAGTATGGCTAGGATGGATGTTTGACTGTCACTTATGATGTGTACGTTGTCTGTGGGGATGTTGGTGAAGAGGTCTATGGCGTGTTGGATAGCTGTTAGCTCCGTTTGATAGACGCTGTTATGTTGTCGGAGATGGCCTTGCCATGTTATTTCTGCACCTGTTGAAGTGAGGAGTGTTGCGGCTGCTCCTACTTTGGCATCTATTTTTGGAGCCGTCAGTATAGGCCGTGTATGAGGTTGTAGGTGGAGTATTTTTGATGTTGCACATCAGGTTGTTTAGAAGGTTTGCTGGGTGATGCTTGTACAGTTGGGCTAGTGCTTCATATTCTTCTGGAATGAAAGTGGTATCTTGGAATGATGCTGTTCGATGGAGTTGGAGTACTGTATTCCGGATGGCTTCAGTTTCTGCTGCAATTGGAAGGGGTATTGTGCCTGTGATAACTTGTAATGCGTTTGTAGAGGTTGTTGAAAAGGCTCTGGAGATATTGAGGAGAAAGGGGCGTTGGATGGAGTTAAGGATTTTTTCTTTTCTGCTCGTCATGGGACTTGCCCATTTTGCACTAGCGTAATTTACAATTGGGTTGATGACAGTGGTGAGGAGTAATTTCATTATTCGTGCGTTAAGTCCCCAGTTGTAGCCTCTCATTCTTCTTATGGATTGTGCAATTTGGTTTGTGATTATTCTTTTGTTTCAAAGGTGCTCTAGCCAGTTGAGTTTTTGGTCGATGATCAGCCCTAGGTATTTCACTGTTTTAACGCATTTAATTTTATTGTTTCCTATCTTGATGATTGGGTTTCTTGTTATTGGTCTTTCTGGCTTGTGGAATATTATGGCCTGGCTTTTGATATGGGATATTTGGAGTTTGATATTTTGACATAGGTTGTTGAAGATTTGTAGGGTTGCGTTGCAGTTGTTTTGAAGGTGATCTCTTGTTGAGCCGTTGACAACGAATGCTACATCGTCCGCGAAGGCAACTATTTTGGTATGGGCGGGCCAATGGTGATCAATTATATGATTGAACGTAATGTTCCAGAGGTCTGCACTCATACATGACCCTTGTGGACATCCTCTGGATTGTTGCTTGGAGACGATTGTATTGTTTAGGATAACCAGACTTTGCCTGTTGTTGAGATAATCTGCTGTTAGTTGAAATAAGTTCGCAGGGCATTGCATCTCCCTGAGAGCCTTCCTGATAGCTGGCCACCAGAGAGAGTCGAATGCGTTTTTGAGATCAAGGCAGAGAAGTGCAATGAAGTTGAAGTTGTTTGTTTGTTTCAATCTGGGTTAGGATATAGTCTATTGCTTGCGTGGTTGAGCTGTTGGGTTTGAAGCCAAATTGGTACTTGCTGATTCTATTGTGGTGGTATATTTGGAATTTGATTCTTGATATTAGGAGACGTTCTAGTAGTTTGCCTATTGCAGGGAGTAGGTTTATGGGACGGTATGAGCTTGGATCCTCTGGATTACGATTTTTCTTGGAGAAGAGAATTATCTGTCCGACTTTGAGTAGGTAGGGAAGCAGGAGAATTCTAGACATTTGTTGAAAAGGTTTTGTAGTAGATCTGGGGTTTCTTGGCAGATGAGCTTTACTATGGTGTTGGAGATTCCGTCTATTCCTGGTGCTTTCTTGTTGTTGAGTTTGCTGGCTATTTTCTTAATTTCATAGATGGTGAATGGACAATCATTTGGTGTTGTAGGGAGTGTGTTGTCTTCGCGGATAAGTGTCTGTTCTTGGGAGTCTTCGGTTTCTTCACCTGTGGGGAAGATATGGTCCATGATTTCATTGAGTGTAATTGATGATATGTTCTGATTATTCTGTGGTTGGATTCTTGGAGACGCATGGATTTGTGTAGGGCGGAAAATCTTGGATGTTGCCATTTTATAGAGGGGGCCCTATGGGTCTTTGTTGTTTGAGCAGTAGTTGTTCCATGATTTTAATTTTGCAGCTATTGTAAGTTTCTTGTACAGTGCGCGTTGCTTGTTGAAGTCTTGCCATGCTGATTGTTTTTCCTCTGTATTGATGCGCGTTTTTATCCTTCGTCTTAGCGCTCGTGTTTTTTGTCGTGCCATGCGTAGATCCTTCGTCCACCAGTTTGCATGGTTGTTAGTTTTGATGGTTTTTAGTTTAAGTGTTTGATGACATATTTCTTGGATTTGGATGAGAATATGGTCTGTTGTTGTGTTGAGTTCTGACTTTGAGGTACAGTTGGATATTTCTTGATTTAGGGAGGTCGCTTTAAGTTTAATGGCTCTTTTAAATTTCCTGCTGCACCTTGGTTGATGTTGAATCTGTGGGTATGGACGTGGTCTATTGCTTGGATGATTTCATAGGAGATGTAGTTGTGATCAGAGTTAGTGTGATCTTCTAAAATTTGTCTGTTCTGAATCTTGTCTATTAGGTGATGCGTCGAGAGTGTTAGGTCTGGCCATCTCTTGCTGTTGATGGTTTCGAATGTGGGGTTGTCTTCTGGTGTATTGTGCAGGATCAGGTTATTGGCTTGAATGAAATCCTCCATGGAGCTTCCTCTTGGAGAGGTGTGGTTATATCCCCATAGTTGATTTTGGGCGTTAAAATCTCCGCCAATGATATGTGGTGCTTGTGTGTTATAAAAATTGATGTTTAGGTCATGAAGTGTATTTTCTAATTCTTCTGTTGGAGAGGCATAAGCACTTGTCAGGAAGAGTTGTGAGTCTTGCGTAGTGATTTGTATGGTGACTACATCTCGCTTGGCAGTCTGTATAATGGGAGACCAAGACCTGTTAATCACGAATATGGCTGCTCTTGGGTTGTTGTTTGGATCTGCGTTGAGCTGGTTAAAGACATTCCATGTAGTTGGTAGATTTCTTGGGTTTCCTTGGTGGCAATACGGTTCTTGGACGAGAACTGCATCGTGGTGATTTTCAGTTAAGAATTGGATGGGGTTATCTGTTGCAGTTTTGGATTTTTGAAGATTGATTTGAAGGATTTTGATGCTATTCGTGGGGGTGTTGACTATTGGAGTTGCAGCTTGTTGGATTTGCCGTTGTATCTGGTTGTTAAGGTGATTACTCATGATATTGAGTGTGGGATCTTATTCGTGCTGTTTCTTCTTTGTAGGATGGGCAGGTGTTTGAGTAGGCTGGGTGACGGCATTCATACTTGGTATTGAAGTGGAGATTGTTAATTTCACAATTGATACAATGTGGAGAGTTGGCTGAGCATTCATTTTCTTTATGCTTACCCCCGCAGTAGGCACAGTGTGGCCGGAAATCACATTCTTTGGTGCGATGGCTAAAGGCTTGGCAATTTGCACAGCGGTGGGCTCCAACAAATTTTGTGATGAGGTTCATTCTCCATCCAAAATTGACGGTGCGCGTGTTTATGCATTTGTGGAATGTAGGTGGTGTGCAGTCCACTGGTGTTGTTCCTGTCACCAAGCTTGAATAAAGGAGTGATGGTTGCAGGATCATATTCAACAGCTCTTGCAATGGTTACTTTAACTTCTTCTGCTGTGGTGTTTGGTGGAAGAGCATGTATAGTGCATTTCGGTGATCGCATTTTTGGGACCTTGGTGCTGATAATCTCCGCGTTGCTTGTGATGTTGAGTTTAGGATGTGTTCCAGTTTGGCTACATCTTCCGGTGTCTTGCATTTGATGGCCAGTCCGCCCTGTTTAATTGGATGTATTGCTGTAACTTTTTGTTTTATATTTTCAATTGGTATTATGTTTTGTAGTTTATCTTGCAGGTTCGGGATACTTCGGGCATCTTTTGCATAGATGAGGAGAGTAGGTGTGTCGTTTCTGGGAGTTGTTGGTTGTTGTCTTCGGTTGGGATTGTGGTTTTCTCTTCACTGCTGCAGCATAATCATTAGAGGGAGGTAGATTTTGTTGTTCTGTGATGTTGCTTGTTTCTGAGCAATTTGGAGAGTCACATTTGTGGTTTTGGGCTATCAGATTTTGTAGTCTCTGCGGTTTTGGCAATTTTTGAAGAGATGGTGGAGAGTGTGTGGAGTTGCTTTTGCTCTCTATAATAACTGTTGGTTCTTCGGTGACTGTCTCTTTGTCTGCTTTATCGTTGGTGCGATAATCTTCATTGGGAGTGGCTTTCTGGTATAGTGCTGTGAGCAGTAAATACAGTTCCTCTCGAAGAGCTGTTGGTATGATAAAGTTCGTGGTGTAGCGGGCATTGACAATTTCTACACACCTGAGTATATGTCAAATGCTGATGTTGGAATTTCACTGTCATATTCGATGTCTATTGCAGTTGAGGGTCTGTTGGGGACTTTGCGATGTGAAACTGGAGTGCCCTCCGGGTCCTCTTGTATTTCCAAAATCGGCGGCGAATTAGAGTGTGACATTCTGTGGGTTGTGCTCATAGGAATACTATTTGATGGTAGTATACTAATATGATGTTGTGTTGTGGGTGTGTGAAGGGGTTTAGAATGGGTATGTTACACAGTATACAACATCATGATGATAAAAATGCAATAAGTTAGATATTAGATTAAATATGAGTGCTTTCGATTTACATACAGTCGTCACCCCTCCCAACTTTACTGCCGGCCCACCAGCGGCCGAGCGATAAAGTCGCTTAACACTGGTAGTTCGATCTGAGGTTCGAATCCCGCGAACGGGCTGGCTGCATGGGTGTTTACGTGGTTTTCCCCATGTGTAACGTGTATACGAGCCAGTTTCCCTTAGAAAGTCCTCCACGAAGGCATCCCTCCCCTTAGGCAGATATCCCTAGTGTACACCACACATCACACCCAACTTTACTTTCTACAGGAATGTTTCTCGTCGTATTTTAAGTGTAGTAACCCTACGCGATTGTCTGCATAATTTTTGCGCTGATGTCGCAGAGTATCAGTTTAGTATCAAAAATTAAAGTATCAGTTTAGGATACTGTGTGTTCCAACAGAAATTAATTAACCTTTGCCATTGATTTCGTTTAGAATTTCAAAGTAAGCAAGATATCTATCTATACTATCGGTGCGAGGTTTAAATTCAGGTAAGTATTCGGTGAATATCCTGGGGGAATTTGCTTAATTTACTTAACAGTTAATTTTATTTTGAAGCAACCTCTCCTCTCGTCCTAGCTTTCAACCCACGCTTTCTTGCCAGAATGCAAATGAGTTAGTGCGCGTGTATTCAAATGTGGATGAAAGAAATTAATATTTACGGGAAGGTTACTTGAAAGGGTGCTCTGCCTTCCTGAAAGCCACGTTGCTATCTTTGATTTACTACTGATTAGATTCCTATGACGATGAGCAATTAAGTTTGTTTAAACCAACTGTTATGAGTCCAGCCTGCCTGCGCGTTAAGTAACCTGTGAAAAGTCGTTCGGGTAACTTGATTCAATTTAATTTTACGTTACTCGTTAATTTTTGAGTTAAACCAAAAGTGTTGGCTTTTCTAAGTACGAGCCGGTGCCATCTGTGAATCATACTAAAATCAATAAAGACTAACGGATGGCTCCTTACAAAGTCTGTTAACTTCTAGTTAGTTTAGACATACCTAAAAATAATACACATTCTAATCCTACTAATTTTGTCGTTTCCTTTAACCACTAGTTGGTACCATACATTATAATAAATCTCTTATCTACCTGCTGAAAACTTTTATCACCAGCTCAGCCTAGTGTCTGTTTCTACGATGGAATCGAAGAGTAAAATGCTATGGTAGCCATAGTATTTTGTCACAGAGTTTAATTTTTTCGCCGATTACGTCGATGCTTTAGTGCTTATGTTATTCGCACTTAAGGCAATCGGCCTAGAGCTCTCCCAAATTAAGGTAAAAACCAACTGGTTGCATGTCTGTTTAAAAGCCACGGTCAAAGGTCCCAATACTTTTATTCAAAATTTACGCCAATATAAGGTTTTTTTTTTTTTTTTTTTTTTTTTTTTTTTTTTTTTTTTTTTGCCTAATTTTAAATCTTTTCTGACTCATAAAGAAATCCAAAGACGATTTTTGCTAGAAGAAAGACACAATGCGAAGATATCATTTAGCGGTTATTTTAGCCAATGACTCAAAAACGGGCATGAGTTTAAACCACGAAAAAGCAGGCAGGTTTACATTATCTCAGAGGATGCCTCGATTACCTATGATTACATGCTCAAAATAAATAAAAACTACATGGTAAAAATGGTGCCTTAAACTAACTACATGGTACAAATAAATAATGAATGTTAATAGTAATACCCCCCCCCCAAAAAAAAAAAACTGAAAGGTTTTAGATTTCATATTACACTCAAAGGGGCGTTTTTTCAACGTTTTGTGTGCACCTTTATTTATTTAATATCATGTTATTCGCACTTTAACCATACAATTAAATTCAACAGCAATATCACAGAATAATTTTGTAGTCTCACGCGCTGGAGATAAAAGTGTTGCCATTTCTCGCTTTGAGTTTGTTAATCAAATATTCGTATAGCTTTACAAATATGAAACAGATAATAAAACAAATTCCGAATTTGGGCTTCCATATGGCCATATTCGAGTGGAGGACTACACACACAGTTATTCAAAATTTGATGTCTCCAGGTACCGCTGATTTTTCATGGCGCAAGAAACAAACATAATTCATGCAGATTCTTCATTATCTAATTTCTTTAAATATAATGCAGGGCCCTAATACTTGGTGGTAACAATTTGAAAACTAAAACACCATTTATAGTTATCCAACGCAAAATGCCAAAACGAAATTAATAGCCCTTCTGGGCAAATTGCGTCTTTAGGCTTATGATGATTTTTTAAAAACTTCAGCAGTTACGCATTCTGTCGTATTTCAAGCATTTCGCATTACCTAAACGGCATGACAAACGAACTTTCGACAATGCAGAGACGCACGCAGAGAAACTATATACGCATTCACTGACCTTCTGCATTTCATTAAATGCATAATTACGAACGATCCTCTCCATCATACAGCTCAGTCTTCTGCATTTCCCATTCCTAATCTTCGATCGTTCAGATTAACGTATATCATTATCACAGCCACCACATCAAAGTCATGAATTTACAGTTTTCATAATTTGGACAGATTAAATTACACTGCTAAACATATTAGATTTCTATACATATGGATTGCGTATTTAACACACTGCCATCCTAGGTTTTAGTCTCCTTTTATATTATATCATTTTACTTACAGTGCACTGATGAAACATTTTTGTTAATGAATACTTGTAATAATAATATATACATAAAAAAACACAGTGTTATGATTTTTGTGTATATGTAAATAATTTTAATGAAATTAAATGTAAACCTGTAGTCTCTCTTGTATAATGTAACATGAAACCCCTCAAGAGAGTGACGCTTCGCGGAAAAAAATAAGGTTGCAGAAGCAAGTAAATTTAACATTCAGGCTAGTGTTAAGCTGGCGATTGTTTTGGTGACTAATTTTTGTCGCCAAATTTAGGAGAGATCGCCAAAAGTCGTTGAACTTGGCGACCTTTTGGTCCGATGCCTGTATAATAGTAATTGGTCTGATCCCTATAAGTAACTGTTAGCATAAATTTAGGTATTTTGCATAATGAAACTCGAAAGGCATACGAAACGAACGTGCGCCAAGATATATATTGGCGAGAGAAAGTAAAGTTCGCGTGCAATGCAGTATATTCGATTTTCACCCTAGCTACTTGTACTTGGGCCAAAGGTCTAATTAAGTTAGTACTTTCTCTTTTCAAGTACTGTGTTAAAGATGTTCCTGTTTCTGATTTTTCTTATTGCCTAAATAGGTAAGCCTGATGATATTTAGGACTGATGATGATTCTATGTAAGTTATTCTTTTTAATACTTCAGTGTTTTTAATGTCTGTGAAGATTGTTACTTTAATTGGTGTTCTACTTCAGTTAAGCAAAAATTCTCCTATTTTATTAAATAAAGATTCCGTAGTTAATTTTTTGACTTATGATTCTTTAATGAAAACTGCGCTTGAGGAAACTTACTCATTACGCCTTCAGTGCTAATGCACAAACCAACAGTAACTGTATATGCCTTCCAGCAATTTCGAGAAATCGAAGGTATTGGAAATTTCTCGGCGGCTGGGGGATAACTACATAGACCGGAGAG